AATCTTTGTCTTCTTGACATTGAGCCTCAATCCATATTGTAGGCTGCAGTCCTTGACACTCTGCAGCAGGTGCTTCAGGTCCTCTTCAGCTTCAGCAAGCAGGGTTGTGTCATCCGCATAATGCAGATTGTTGTATTCTTTTAACTATACTAAAGTGAAGAAGAATTCTACTTCTCAAAGGAAACTATATGGAAGATGCTACCTGTTTCAAACAGACTGAGTTAGAAGTCATTTGGGAATTGCCATTGGCTTTCAATCCAGGAAGCTTCACCACACAGAGATCTTGTGATGGAGTGACTTCCAGCTTTATATTGAAAAATTTAAATTCTGTTTGCGAGGAATGAGAGGTGGCACATAGATTGTAGGAGTAAGGTAAAGTCACTTCACTGTAGTTGGGGTTAATCTCAGGTCCAGAGCTGGAACTCAGACCAGGTCCATGAGGAAAGCAGATCCAGGAAGTGGGGCTAAAGGAGCTTTGTGGGAGGGTGCAGAGTAATCACCCCAGTTAGAGCTTGGAGGAAGAGCACTGAGATCAATGCCAAAGCCCAGACCCGGTAAAACTGTAGCTAGGCCTGGGAGTCAGAGTGTACTGGGTGGTTGCAGAGCAACTTGGTGATGAGGTAGCCCGACTGCACTTAATGTCCAAGAACGCAGAGCCCTCGGGTCCCAGCACCTGATACAGCACCCTGGGTGCACTGTCATTGTGGTCGTCAACCAGCACGCACAGGCTCACAGTGCTGAAGGAGGGCGCCTGCAACATCAGCTCATCAGCTGTGGTAGAAGGTGCTTGTAGCCCTTAGGGACACATAAGAGGACAGCGTGCAAGGACCCAGGTCACTGGCCATGATCCAGTAGGATCTGGACATTATGGCCCAGGTCTGGGTCGGAGGCTCTCGCTAGCACAGTGAAGGCACCAGGTGGATTGTTTCAGCCACATGAACCACATAAGAGGCTTGATGGAAAACTGGCACATTTTTGTTGGCATCCAAGATGTACAGGGCAACATTTATACAAGAGGAGAGAAGTGGCTTGCCTTTGTCATTGACAATGGTGACATTACACTCAGATCTGTTCCTGGTCCAGAGTCCCATCTGTCACCAGCCTGTACGTATTTTTTGTATCCTGAATATGTCACTTCCTTTCAGTTGACACAGGATTTCTCCACTAACTTCTGAGTCTACATCATGGGCTTTGATCAGGGCAACAACAGGCCCCAGGGCAGCATCTTTTTTTACATGTTTGGATTACATGCAAGGATTATCTCCGGGGCATTCTCGTTTTCATCCAAAACATCTATTTGTATTTTATATCCTTTGCTTCCACCCCAAATGTGTAGTGTGCTCTCTCTTCCACGCCCACTCGTCCAGCAGTACTGAGTTGCCCCGTCTTACTATCCAGCTGGCCTCAAGCCTCATCGATGTTGAAGGCGTAGGTAATTTTGGCGTTGATGCCTTCATCCGGGTGAGTGGCCATCACTCTGAGCAGCGAGGATCCTGCAGGCAGGTTCTCCAAGACACTGTACTTGTACAGGCCACGGGTGAACACTGGGGGGTTGTCATTGGCTTCGGGGACCAATCTGGGTAGAACTGCTCCTTGTGGGCTCTCCCCTGTCCACAGTCCTGATGGCTAGGACTGCTATTCTCTGTCCAGGGGGTACCTACGGCCACCGGGGTATTCGTTCTGAATCAGTGAAGTGCAGGTGGGGCTTAAGTAGTACTGCAGCTGACACCTACATCCGCCTCTTGGGAGGATTCCAGGGTAAAGGTCACCCTGGTTGGGCCCCAATGCTGATTTCCAGCTGTTGTGTTTTGGCTGAAGAATGGTGGGTTGTCATTGACATTCTGGATTACTACTTTTGGAAAACGTTCAAAGGCTTTTCAGTGACCATTTCAAATTCCGTTGTGGGCGTTCACCGGGAAGAATTCTTCTCTGTCTGACCCTCAGGTTGCAGGTTTCGAGTAGGCAAATCTTGCACACAGAGGCCCAGATCTTCAGGTTTCCTGGCAGCAAAGCGCCTGGCAGCGCCAGCGGGACGGACTAGCGAATCAGCTCCGCGAGCGCTCTACATAACAAAGGCAGCAGGAGGAGGCTGTGCGCTGGCTCCTCCACCGCCTCCGCCTTAGCCTTTCTGTCTTCAAGGAGCAGCGACTGCAGAAAGATGCCAGAATTTCTGGAAGAAGGAGCAGGTACCTGTTTTCTCTTCAAGGATGGGTTTTCTGCAGTGTCCTGAGAAAGTGCTCAGTACTCCAAGGGGCCCCGGCAGACTGAGGATTGTGCAGCGCTGAGTGAGGAGCAAACACTGGGAGCCAACAACAGCTGGACCTCACCTCGCGCTAGCTAAATCAGCCCACGTGGGGTTAAGTGGTGAGAGGTAAATTCTACTGCACACAGAGCACCTTCCGTCTTTCCATTTTAACAGGATATATTACACTTTAAATGTTTACTATATCTTCAATCTCGTTGATTTTTCTTTGTACTTCTTTTTTGTTTGTTTGTTTTTCTATAATTATATTTTATTAATTTTCATAAACATTTACAGAGATTTTGGGCTTCCACTCATTCATTGTTGCACTATTCTCTCTACCCTCCTCCCAGTTTGTTCTTGTCCAAATGCCACAGTGCTTGTCAAAGCCAGTTCTGATTAATCTTCTTTGTCAGTGTGTCCTTTGCCATTCCCTATCACTCCTCCCTGAGAGAGACTTCACCCTGAGTCATAAGGAAAAGGGGATGGCGTATTCTCTTAGCTACTTCCTGCTGAAAAGGGATGCTGTGGGTTTCAGGGTGAAGATCTTCTCTCACTACTCTAAAGGGCCCCTTTGGCAGTAGGAAACACATAGACTATTATGGAGATTGATTTTGGAATTTAGATGCACTCTTATTGATTGTGCTTGGCTGTACATGTTCATATCCTTGAAGATGTATCATGGGGGTGTTGCAACCTAGAAGACACAAATTTGACTAACAAGTTATAAGTACATGAGTCCAAAAATTATGGAAAAGTAAAAGAAAAGATTCTTTCATTGTTTTACAAACCCTCCCCCAGGTCCCCTCCACCATGTAGCCCTCGCTCTAGTCTCCTGTGATGACAGAAATACCCAGTTATATCTCTCTTTTAAACGGTTCTCTCCCTCCTCTGTTTCAGTGCAGTATACATTATTGAACCCATCTTACTCAGTCTCTCCCCAACCCCAAGGACAGTCCCATTCTACAACAGTGGCATCATGTAATATTTGTCCTTTTGTGACTGGGATATTTCACTCAGCATAATGTTCTCCAGAGTCAACCATTTTGAATAATATTGCATGAGTTCCTTGTTTTTTAATGCAGCATAGTATTCCATTGTGCGAATATACCACAGCTTCTCTAGCCATTCGTTTGTTGATGGGCACTTAGGTTGTTTCCAACTCCTTGCTATTGTGAACAAAGCTGCAATAAACATGGGTGTGCATATATCTGCTTGGATGTTTTTTTTGTACTTTAACTTTACCCATCCCACTCAAGATTACTTTCATTGTTATAGAGTAGAAATAATCTTGTTCAAGATGTATATTGGCATCATCGTGCTTTTATTTTGTTCTAATATTTTGGTCATAAAGTCTTCCTTGATTATCTCCGTAGAATTGAAGGCAAAATGAAATAAGGTGTAGACACATGAAAACTAGTGTTGATGGCAGTAGATGTATGAAAATTCTTGAAATAACAACTTGTCGTGTATGAAAACATTTTCACTTTGTCCTATGTATCACTTTTTTCTATTTTTATCGCCGTCCTCCTTTAAGAGAACTGATAGATTGTCTTTATTAAGTAGAAGTGTATTAAGGAGACTCTAATTTTATAGATGTCTCCTCTGGTGGCCTATTGGTAAGAAACTGCACTGCAATCCCGAAAGCACACGGTGGGAATCCACCTATTGCTCCATGGAAGTAGGACAGGCAATCTCCTCCCATGCGATTAACTGCCTCTGAAAACCAACTGGAGGGGTCAGCTATGGGTTAGTTTTGACTGATGGTACTCAACATCTCTTACTGAAATGAGTATTATTAAGAAACTGTTGTTTTTGTTGTTGTTATGTGGCATCGAGTCACTTGCAACTCATCCCTATGTATAAAAGCCCCTATATACCCTGCTCTATCCTATGCCAATCTGATTGTCTCTTACACACCTGCCTACATTGCCCCAGTCACTGAATCAATCCATCTCATCGAGGGTCTTCCTCTCTTACATTGTCCCTCCACCCTCCCAAGCAAGAGATCTCTCTCCAAGGACTAGTCCCTCTTTGCAACATATTCAAAGTATGTCAGACAAAGTTAAACATGTAATATTTCACCTTAAACGATATAAATATTTTTCTGATTTGTAATGTTTCTTCTCAAGTACTTTAACAGTGGAGAGTGATCTGAAATTGAAGGGTAAGTATGAGTTCTTACAATTATTTTCTGCTCTTCAAAATTCCAAGAAAAGTGAGTTATGTTGCTAACCCTTCCTTGCTCCCAGAGGGGATATTGAATCACCCCCAGCACTTTGTTATTGTCACTGTTCCTTTGTTAACAACAATGCTAAGTGCCACATTTCTAGAAGGTTTTAACTCCTTTTCCAAACGAAAAATTATCTATAAAAGAATCCTTTTACAATGAAAGAAGCTTTTCTTTTACTTTTCCATAATTTTTGACTCATGTACTTATAACTTGTTAGTCAAATTTGTGTCTTCTAGGTTGCAACACCCCCATGATACATCTTCAAGGATATGAACATGTATGGCCAAGCACAATAAGAGTGCATCTAAATTCCAAAATCAATCTCCATAATAGTCTATGTGTTTCCTACTGCCAAAGGGGCCCTTTAGAGTAGTGAGAGAAGATCTTCACCCTGAAACCCACAGCGTCCCTTTTCAGCAGGAAGTAGCTAAGAGAATACGCCATCCCCTTTTCCTTATGACTCAGGGTGAAGCCTCTCTCAGGGAGGAGTGATAGGGAATGGCAAAGGACACACTGGCAAAGAAGATTAATCAGAACTGGCTTTGACAAGCACTGTGGCATTTGGACAGGAACAAACTGGGAGGAGGGTAGAGAGAATAGTGCAACAATGAATGAATGGAAACCCAAAATCTCTGTAAATGTTTATGAAAATTAATAAAATATAATTATAGAAAAAAAAGAATCCTTTTACTTTACCTACACAAAGTACTGTCTGTGGTTTGAAACCTTAGCAGATGTGTAATGGTGTTGAACTTACCTTATAGCAAAATGGTATTTTTGTTGTTGTTGTTGTTAGATGTTGTTGAGTACAATACATCATGATCCTATGAACAGCAGATCTGAACCCAGTCCTAGTCTGTGCTATTTTCACACTTTCTGACACACTAGAACCCATTGCAGTAGTAACAATGTCAATCCACCTGGTTGAGGGTCTTCCTCTACCCTTCCCAGCATGTCCCTCTCCAAGGAATAGCCCTTTCTAGCAATAAGCCCGAAGTATGTGAGGCGAAGCCGAAGCCGCATCATCCTTACTTCCAAAGAGCACTCTGGCTGCAACCCATCCAAGACATATTTATTTGTTCTTTTGGCCATCCATGGGATGATCAGTGCTCTTCCCCAACACCACAGCTCAAAGGCATCAATTCTTTTTCTGTCATCCCTATTCATTGTCCAGCTCTCAAATACATAGCAAGTGATGGAAAAAACCATAGCCTGAATCAGACACACCTCAGTCCTCAAACTTTTTCATTGTACTTAGAATTCTAGTTAGTCACTGACATTGTCACATTGTATAAACCTAGAGAACATTATTAACTCAAGATTTTGTTCCAAAACATGCCGAAGCTCAAATCTTTCAATGGCATAAACACTTATAGTAGCACCGGAAAGTTGTATTCAGCACAAATTAAAATAAAGCTTCAAATAATTAAATAGAATATTTAACATAGATTCAGATTGTGTGGAGCAAGCCTTTTAACATGCCAGAGTTATTTGTAATTTACAGAGATCTAAAGGGTATTTTTTTCCATGACAGAAAAGTCAACTCTGATGATATACTCAATCTATAGTCTTTTCTTTAAAACTAGTAGAAAATGAAGGGATATGTTATAGTGAATGACGTCAGCATCTATTATACAGTTTTCCTTGCTAGTATTTGGATATATTTGCTATTCAGCAAGTCGAATAGGTTACATTTAAGTAAGAATTATCCATTTGCATGTATAATTGGATCCCCTCTTGAAAAGTGTGCAAAAAATAAAAATAAAATGGCCCTAGGTCCCAAGTATGTCAGTAAACTTCTCATGTAGTTAGGTAATAAAATTTACCATTTCATTAGTATTATTCTATTATCACTTTCCCCCTTACTACTCATATTTTGAGTAGGGAGCTCTGGCGGCCTAATGGTAAGAAATTGAGCTGCAATCCCAAAGGCATGAGGTTTGAATCCACCAGTTTACTCCTCCTGTGTGATTAAATGTCTCTGAAAACCTGCTGGAGAGTCAACTATGGATCAGTTCTGACTTGATGGTATACAACAACTCATATTTTGCAGCTGGTGTTCAAGCTACTTAAAGTATAATGTTTGAAAGGTATATTTTAATAAGGTTATCTTAAAATAATCTTCAGCAATTGAATACAGAAAATAAACAGAGCCACTCTCACATTACACAGTGTAGGTTAATGAAAATTTAAAAATGCTGTAATAATAGTGCATTTAAATAATGTATTCATTAAAGTGTGGCACATCTCTAAAGTTCTAAACTATTGAAAAGTTTAATTAATATATCAATTTTTTAAAAATGAAACAACACCTTAGAACTGTGTAATAAAGCAGAAAACTACCTACAATTGCAGTAGACAATGAATCTGAAACGTGAAGGGGCTATCTGATAACAGAAATGTTGGAATTATTTGTATTTCATGAAATAGCAACTTCAGAGACTGTAAAGTTCATCACAGAACAAGACACAATTCTTAGGATACTTCTGAACTATTTCTCCCAAGAATATATAATAATTTCTATTTATATGGTTTAATCCAAATGTACCAAATTATAGAATGCTACAAGCATTATCCTATGTATTTAACCCATTTCCCAGGTTTTTGTTATGCAGAATTTTTCTGTACTCTTCTACTGATTTGTGTAAATGGTGGTGTTTTCTTATGCAAACTTAGGGGTGTTCACTAGGGATCCAGTGGTAGACTTCTCACCATCCATGTGGTTCAATTTTCAGCAAATGCAACATTTATACAATAACTATCTATCTGTCAGTGGAGGCTTATGTGTTGCCATGATATTGAATGTGTTTCATAGAAGCTTCTAGGCTAAGACAAAGTAGGAAGAAATGCCTTGTAATGTATTTCCATAAAGTAGATAATTAAAACCCTGTGAATACAATGGTCCAATTTGAAACTGGTGAATAACAGAGAACTGGACAGCATTGTCTACTGGGATCATTACAAGTTGAGGGCTGACTCACTGGCCACTAAGAACAACAATGGAAACTCCATGTATATGAAAATACCAATTCTGCATAATGTCCTTTCCAAAACATATTTACTAGTGGTGTTTAGTAAAATATTAAAATAATATATTAAATATTCAAAGTGACTATTAAAATACACTTAAAAACTTGGACTTACCTGAACACATCAAATAAGATTAAAGTAAAAGGGTTAAGATTAAGTAAAGAAAATCTTTGGGTAAGATGATGATTTTTAACTATGTCTTTTAGTGCTTTAGTGCTTTGTCATGTAAGTCTGTCTATGTTCTACCACTCCTCTCTCAGTTTGCCCTACTGTAGTGACGTGCATATTACTGTGGTGCTGGAAGCTATGTCACAGTATTATAAACACCAGCAGGGTCTTTCCACACTAAGAAAGACAGGGAAGAAAGTTTTAGGAATTGATTTCTGAAAAAAAACTAGCCAGGGAAAACCTTATGAGACATATAGCATGGCTGATGTCAGATGAATGTTGACTGAAAGCTGAGAATACCAGAAAGATATTTTGTCTTTGTACATATGTGTCTGTGTGGATCATAATAAATTATGGGTAATGTGGTGAAGAATGGAAATTCAAGAACATCTAATTGTGATTACAAGGAATTACTATATTAACCCAGAAGCTGTTGATTAAACAGAACAAGAGGACTACATGATTTTAAATCAGGAAAGGTGTGCGTCATGGCTGTATCCTTTCACAATACTTATTCATCTGTATACTGAGCAAATAATCCAAGAAACTGAACTATACAAAGGATTATTTGGTATCAGGATTGGAAGATGATTCATTAAAACCTTGTCATATGCAGATGAAAAAGCCATCCTCGCTGAAACCAAAGAAGGCATGAATCATATACTAGAGATACCGTTCAGTATGAGTCACACCTCAACAACAACAAAACACCCCAAAATTCCCATATTTGGGTCAATAAACAACATGATGGTACAGTGCCTATACATCTAGCAATAAACAGCATCAAGTAAATAGAAACAATATTGAAATTTTAAGGATTTCATTTTGCGTGGATCCACACTCAGTGCTCAAAGAAGTGGCAATCAAGCAAGAAATCAAGAACGTATTACATTGGTCAAATCTGCTACACAACACATCTTCAAAGTGTTAAAAAGAAAATACATCACTTTGGGCACTAAAGTGTGCCTGATCTTCCTTCACTTCATAGAAACTTGAAAACGTGACCATTTTCTAAGTGAGAGGCAGAATGCATGCCTCTGAATGATAGTGTTAATTTACTGACTTCCTGTAGAACAAACAGGCCTGTCTAGGGAAAGGTACAGCCAGAATGTTCAGTAGAAGCAATGATGGAAAGATTCTGTCTCATTGGCTAGCATGCGACATGCTATCAGAAGGACTAGACACTGGAGGGCATCGTTCTTGGTAAAGTAGCAAAAGAGGAAGACTTACAAGGAGATGAACTGAAACAATGGCTGCAGCAAGCAGGCTGTACGTGGAATGACTAGGTTGTGTTTAGTTTTGTTGTACATAGTGGTAAGAAGCTGCGCTGCAATTCTGAAGGGAGGCTGCTCCGCGGTAGAAGGATGGGCCATCTCCTCCCATGCGATTAACGGAGGATCAGCTATGGGTTGGTTCTGGCTCTACAGTACAAAACAACTAGAATCAATAAAGGGAGCTCTGGAGGCCTAGTGGCAAGAAGCTGCGCTGCAATCCCGAAGGCGCATGGTTCGAATCCACCAAATACTCCACTGGAGAAGGAGGGCAATCTCCTGTGCCAGTCGGATCCAACTCAACGGTACACCACGAGAGAAAAAAAATAAAAATCACACACACACACACTAGACTCCACAATGCCTAACAAAACCAGCTATGTATAGCTCTTAGAAAAACACTGACATATTGAATCCTCCCAAATAATTTGGGGAAAAAAATGGAAAATCGCCAACTAAAATAAAACTTTAAAGAAAGGCGTGACGCATTATTCATATTATCCACACAATTTGAAAGCAACGGAAACATGACTGAAGAAACATATGCCCGAATCAACTATAATGAAAAAGAAAACTAACCTGAAAAACTCCTGGTTCTTCTTTGTTTGAATTTATCTGATCAGATATAAGAAGAGGCTCGCTTTTCTCACAACTCTCTGCACTAATGAGCGTGTCCGCATAGTTGGGCTGCGGAAAGATAATGTGGCTCTTTCCGGAGTCTGCAGTGAGGGAGATCTCATGGGAATATGTCTGCAGGAAGGCCCGCACCCCGTCCACACCCACAAAGTGCGAGGCGGGCAGGCCTGGGAGCCCACTGCCCGAAGTTTGCAGCAGATGCGAAGTGTACCAGCGCCTCAGCCTGAGCGCCATCAGCACAATGACAAAGGCAAGGAACAGGCAGGAGACGGAGGCCAAGGCCACCACCAGGTACAGCGTGAGGCCTGAGTCTTCATTATTAGAGGGTGTCTTGATGTTCTCCAGGTCCGCCAGGACGTCGGGGATGTTGTCGGCCACGGCCACGGTGAGCGTGACAGTGGCCGAGAGAGGGGGCTGGCCGTGGTCCTGGACAGCCACCACCAGGCTCTGCTTGAGCGCGTCTCTGTCCTGCAGGGCGCGAGCAGTGCGCACCTCGCCTGTGTGCACCCCCACCGCGAACAGCCCTGGCTCGCTGGCCTTGAGCAGGCGGTAGGACAGCCAGGCGTTCTGACCCGAGTCTCTGTCCACCGCCACCACCTTGGTCACCAGGTAGCCGGGTTCTGCAGAGCGAGGCGCCAGTTCCACCCCTGTGGAACCATCAGTGGGGAAGGCGGGGTACAGGACCTCAGGAGCATTGTCGTTCTGGTCCAGCACGAACAAGTTCAGTGACATATTGCTACTGAGTGGTGGGTTCCCGCTGTCACTGGCTGTCACCCACAGCTGCACCTCCTGGAACTGCTCATAGTCGAAAGAGCGCAGCGCATACAGGACACCGGTGTCGGAATTGATGGAGACGTAAGAGGAAAGAGGCGCCCCCTGCAAGGTGTCTTCCCTCAAGGAATAAGTAACCCGGGCGTTGTCACCGCTGTCGGGGTCGTGGGTGGTCACAGAGAAGATGGAGACACCTCTGGAGTTGTTTTCCGGGATGTAGGTAGAGTAGGATGCGTGAAGGAAGGCCGGCGGATTGTCGTTAATGTCTGCCACTTTGATCGAGATACGCGTTTCTGTGGACAGCGGCGGGGTTCCGCGGTCAGTAGCAGTTATCGTGATGTTATACTCTGAGACTTCTTCCCTATCCAGGGTTGTTGTTGTCAATAAGTGATAGTAATTATCAACGGACGTTTCCAACTTAAAGGGCAGATTTCTGGGGATAGAACACGCAATCTCGCCATTTTCTCCGGAATCGCTGTCGTGTACGCTGAACAGAGCGAGGACTGTTCCGGGAAGGCAGTCTTCAGACACGGAGCCCGTGAGCGAGGTGAGGATCACTTCCGGGGCATTGTCGTTTACATCCTGCACAGAGACCAGCACTGTGGCGCTAGCAACCAGAGCACCCCCGTCCTGGGCCTCCACTTCTATCGTGTAAAAGGTGCATTCTTCGTAGTCCAGTGACTGCAGAGTCGAGATCTCCCCCAGGTTGGAATCAAGTTGGAAAGTCTCTGAAATTTTGTCTTCTTCATTGCGAAAAGAGTAGGTGAGTTTCCCATTTAGTCCTTCGTCCGGGTCAGTGGCGGTGACCGTGAGCAGCCGGCTGCCCACAGGTATGTTCTCCGGGACGCTCGCTCGGTATTCAGGCCTGGTGAACAGCGGCGCGTTATCGTTCGCGTCCAGGACAGTCACGCGGATGTGCGTGGTGCCAGAGAGGACAGGGTCGCCCCCGTCGATAGCTGTGAGGAGGAGGTCGTGAAGAGCCTCCTTCTCCCGATCCAGGGGCCGATCCAGCACCAGCTCCGGGTACTTTTGCTTATCAGTTCCGCTTTTCACGTCCAGAGTGAAGTGCGTGTTGGAGCTGAGCTGGTAGTTCTGGAGAGAGTTCGCTCCCACATCCGGATCTCGCGCAAAAGGAAGCACTAATCGCGTCCCTACAGGTGCATTTTCATTAATTTTCACTTTTAATTCTTCATCTCGAAAGCGTGGGGCGTTATCATTAATATCAATGATTTCTACTTCTACTCCATAAATTTTCATTTTATTTTCAACCAAAATATTAAAGCTCACCAGACACCGCGCGCTCTGGGCGCAGAGCTCCTCCCGGTCTATTCTCCCCGCGGTCACCAGGCTGCCGCTTCCCGCGCTCAGAGAGAAAAACTGCGTCTTACCTCTGGAGACAATGCGGACTCCGCGCTCTGCCAGCTCTCCGGGCTTAAGCCCCAGATCCCTGGAGATGTTGCCCACGAAAGAGCCTTTGTCCAGCTCTTCAAGCACCGAGTAGCGGATCTGCCCGGCCCCCGCCAGGGCCCTAGCACCACACAACGTCCAAAACAGAAGAGCGAGCAGGAGCTGCTCTCTGCAGCCCCACCACCTCACTGTATCCGCCATTGTTTTCTCTTCGCCTTATATCTTCAGTCCTTGTTCCAGCTTGCTTTGCTGTTTCCTTCTTTCAACACAGTTGAGAGGAACACACTCCCTTGAGGAAATCCAAGCAGGGCGTGAACGATTTTCCCGCAGCTGGTTTGATCCGTGTTGCTCAGTGCGTAAGGAGCAGAGCTGGGCTTCCGCGGCAGCCTTTTTTTTTTCCCAATTTGGTGAACAGCGACGCTCAGAGCCCTAACTAGTTACTGCACCAATTTCTCAAATTTGCTTGTCTTGGTATTTACAATGAATTTTGCTACGTCCTAAATGAAGTACACTTTGACATTGTTAATGATATATAAGAGTTCCACAAGCCCCTAAGATGGATGGAATGACAAGATTCTTCTTTAATTCTCAGAAAAGTTTTATTTAATATGCAATTGAAGTTATGTTCATTATTTACCTCTTAACGTGTGTTGCATCTGCTAAAGAGATTATTTCAGCAACAATTCAGGGCACTTAAATGCTCTCTTATAAGCCTCAGTTCGCATCTTTTTGTTAGGATTCATTTAAGAAAATGTGTCCATTTGTACATAACAATGGTAAGGAAACAAACTCAGCTCTTAATAGGTGTTTGTATAAGACCTGCTGGTTTCTCTAACTGTTGTGTTTGCTTTCATATGCAGAAGAAATAGGCCATTTTGTTTCTTGAGAAAGTTTCCAGATTTTCACACTAAGGATTTGGGCTAGGCTACATCAGACAAAGGAGCCACTTGGGTTCTGTATGCATCCTTTTGATCTTGTTACACTGTTCAGACATTTTTAGTTACTCATTTAACAATGAATGGCGCTTAGAGGAAATCTTTATGGGTTTCCTGTGGATGAAATAGCTTTAGTTCGTCACAGATGCAGGTAAACAGGCTCAGAGACTTAATATCATGCTGGCAGTGAGTGACCTTTCTATGCTGATACTTAATCTTATTACCTCGATATGGCAGAAGAATAATGCCCCGGTATGGAAAACTGATAGTTTATCAAATGAGAGAAGCAATTTGTACTTAATGACACTTTTAGAAGGAAGTTATTGTATAATTGATGACTTCCAAAAGAAACAAAGTTTTAAGTACTACTTGATATAAAACAGTATCAGTATAAGTTGCAAAAGTGTTCTCAATTAGACTTTTTTCCCCAAGAGGAATTAATTAATATGTTCATGAATAAATTATTTCACGCATTGATTATATGTGGCCTTCATAGCATCCAACTTGAACCTTGGGCTTTTCCCACTCCTTGTACTGCACATGGTTAGAGTTTAAAGGAACAGTGAATGTTCATCTTCACGTCAGTGGAAACTAGTTCTACCTGTGTCCTGTGGTGGACAAGCTGTGGCACTAAGTACATTTCTTTCTTTCCTTGATATCTGCTTTTCCTCAAGCTAGCAATAAGAGGACTCTTTGTACTCTGAAATATTATATGATTTGATTTCCCTAAAGGGAAAAGCAATAACCCAAGGCTTCAATAGTAATAAACCTTCAGAGGGAATGTGCCATAAAGATGAGGAAGAAAAAGACTTACGTATTTAGTCCATATAATTGTAGAAAACCAAATTCTCAGATAGATAAACTACATTTAAGAGTTGTATGGACAACAGTAAGACGATGGCAGGAAATTGCCCTGCAAATCAGACCTATAAGCAAAGCTAGACTGTTAGGCGTTTTAAGAAGTACCAAACCCCAAAATGAAAAGAAGTAAAGCTCACCTCTAAAACAGGATCTGAGGCAAATGGTGCCTTCGTGTCGTCATGATTTGTACTAGGTACCCAAGAGGCATCATCACAGAGGAGATCCTGAGTGGGAGCTGACTCCGGAGTCACGCTGAGAAAATTAAATTCTGTCTTAGCCGATTGCGAGGCAATGCACAGATTGTAGGAGTGGGGCAACGTTCCCTCACTGTCGATGGGGAGAATTCCAGGTCCAGATTTGGAGCTGAGACTAGGCTGAATACAACCCCAGGAGGTGGGGCTGGAAGAGCGTCGCAGGTGCAGGGCAATGGCCAGGATGACCGCGAGGAGGAAGAGCACGGAAATCAGGGCCAAGGCCACCACCAGATAGAACTGCAGCTCGGTCTGTGAGTCAGTGGGCTCTGGGGGCTCGCTGAGGTCCGGCAGCGCCTCCTGCAGGTTGTCTGCGAAGACCAGGAGCAGCGTGGCTGTGGCAGAGAGAGGCGGCTGACCTCCATCACGCACAGTGACCAGCAAACGATGACGGGCAGGGTCTCTGTCACCCAAGACGCGAGCTGTGCGCACCTCGCCCGTGCGCAGCCCCACGTTGAAGAGCCCAGGCTCGCTGGCCTGCAGCACGTGGTAGGACAGCCAGGCGTTGTGCCCAGAGTCCGCATCCACCGCCACCACCTTGGTGACCAGGTAGCCCGGCTGCGCGGCGCGTGGCACCGTGTCAAAGAGCGCTGAGCCATCGAGCCCCAGCACCGGGTACAGCACCCTGGGCGCATTGTCATTGCGGTCTCCCACCAGCACGCGCAGGCTCACGTTGGCGCTGAGCGAGGGCGAGCCCTGGTCACGCGCCTGCAGCGTCAGCTGGAAGGCGTGCAGCTGCTCATGATCGAAGGCGCGCTGCGCGAACACCACCCCGCTGTGCGCGCTCACAGACACATAGGAGGACAGCGCGCGAGGCTCCAGGTCGCTGGATACTATAGAATAGGACACTTGGCCGCTGGGCCCCAAGTCCGGGTCAAAAGCGCTGACCTGCGCGATGGAGGCGCCAGGAGGGTTGTTCTCTGCCACGTGGACCACATATGAAGATTGGTGGAAAATGGGTGTGTTGTCGTTTACATCCGCAACGTGCAGCGTGATGCTTGTGCTAGAGGAGAGGGGTGGCTTGCCCCTGTCGGTGGCTGTGATGGTGATGTTGTATTCGGGGATTTGTTCACGATCCAGCGCTTCGTCTGTCACTAATTTGTAATAGTTCTTAGAAGAGGATTTCAATTTAAATTTGGCATTTCCAAAGATCTGGCAGTGAACCTCTCCATTTTCTCCCGAGTCTCTGTCTCTCGTTTTGATCAAAGCTATCACTGTTCCTCTGGGCGAATCCTCTGGTAGTGGAGTAAATACTGAAGTCACGATCACTTCAGGGGCACAGTCATTCTCGTCCAGAATGTCTACGTGGATCCTGCAATGGGCTGCGAGATCGCCAGGATCTTTCGCTTCGATACTCAGAGTGTAAGTATTAGCAATTTCAAAATCCAAATAATCCCTTGTCGTGATTTCTCCTGTTCTTTCATCTAAGTTGAAAAAGTGGACCACTTGTTCGTCCATGTTATGAAAGGAGTAGGTGATTTCCGCATTGAGGCCTTCATCCAGGTCGGTGGCTGTCACACTAAGGACTGCAGTGCCCGGGGGTACGTCCTCCCGCAAGCTGACTCTGTACACGTCCTGGCTGAACTCTGGCGGGTTGTCGTTGGCATCAGTCACTTGGACTCCGATCTGAGTGGTGCCACTTTTGGGTGGGTCCCCACCGTCCACAGCCATGAGGAACAACTGATGGAAATTCTGCTCTTCTCTGTCCAGAGAACGTTTCAGAACCAGTTCAGGATATCTCCGCCCATCTGGGGTCTGCTTCTCTGACAGACCAAAGTATTCATTATCATTTAGGTGGTATTTTTGCAGTGAAAAAGAACCAGCATCTGAATCCTGAGCTGGGTCTAGTGGAAATGTAGTACCTGGCTGAGTAGATTCTCCAATTTTTAAATCTGTCTCCCTCTGTTTGAATAGCGGAGCATTGTCATTTATATCCTGCACAATTACTGCTACATGGAAAATGTTTAGTGGGTTTTCAGCGACAGCATCAAAATCCAGAACACACTGAGGCTTCTTCCCACAAATCTGCTCTCGGTCTATTCTGTCCCCAACAAGTAAGTCCCCGCTGTCTGGGTTCACAGTGAAATAATCCTTCTCGCCGCTTACCCGCAGCTTCCGGGATGCTAAATCCCGGATGTGGAAGCCCAGATCCTTGGCGAGGTTCCCCACCACCGTGCTCTTGGGCAGTTCCTCTGGAACTGCATAGCGGACCTGGTCTGAGACAGCTGCGCCCAGCACACACAAGAGCAGAGTCCCCACCGGCCGCCACCGCCCGGCCGCGCGCCGCCCTGCGCCCTCTCCCATCCTCTGTCCCCTCGCCACAGGCTGCGCGCAGGCCACGAACCTTCCGCGGACGAAAGAACCCAGAATAGAGCCCCTTCTCCTGCTTTTGTTCCCCTGTATCCGAATCCGAACCGGCCGGTCTTCCCGCAGTGGTGCGTTTGCACAGGAAGTTACCCTTTAAGAGGTTTTCAAGGCTTCTGCAATTGCTTCGCTCTTCCTTTGACCTACAGCGACGCCCAGAGGTTCTTCCAGAAAACTACACCCATTCTTTGCACAGGGTTTTTTTCCTCTCCTTTTTTTAGATAGATTTATAATAGTGTTTACGGTTTAATAGGTAACGCCATATGCACATAATTCGAAATTAGCAAGGCATACTTTATAAGATATCCGTCTTACCTTTCCTCTCAAACACATTTCTCACAGGAGAAAACGTTAACTTTTGTGTCTTCCAGAAACATTTTACTCACAATATATTATTGTTCTGCACCTTGCTTTTTCAACTTGTATAATTTGAAGAGAATTTCCTATGAATACATGAAAAGGGTTTTCATTTATTTCTTGTAGCTATGTTGTTGTTAGGCGTTATTGAGCTGATCCAAACTCAGTTCTACACAGCCGATGTAAACGCTGTGTGGTAGTGCGCTGTCCCATCACTGCTGTATTTTGACTCCAACTGCTACAGTCATAGTGTGACCATGCATCTCATGCAGGTCGTCTTTCTGTTAACCATCTACTTTACCCAGCATGGTTCCCTCTTCCCAGGACGGGTATATCCTGAAAACATGTCCAAAGTATGTGAGACAAAATGCCATAATCCTTGCTTCTAAGGAGCATTATTAGGTCTTCCAAGGCAGGTGTGCTTCCAAGAGCACTTCTTCCAAGACAGGCTTGTTGTTCTTCTGTCAGTTCATTATGTAGTCAGTATTCTTCACCCACATCATAATTTGAATTACATCAGTTCTTCTTTGGTCTTCCTTATTCGTTGTCTAGTTTTGAATGCATATGGCATAATTAAAAACACCATGACTTGAGTAAGGTGCATCTTAGTTCTCAAGGTGTCATCTTTGCTCTTTAACACATTAAAGAGCCCCTTTTCCAAGATTCGCCCAAGACATACATCCTTTGGTTTCTTGGCTGCTATTTCCATGGGCATTGATTGTGGATCCAAGTAAAACGAGATAGTTGACAACAATGATATCTTCTATTCATCATGATGTTGCTTACTGCTTCAGTAGCAGCAACTTCTTTCCCCTCTTCATGTTGAGGTGCTATTTATGTTGGAGACTGTCGTTTCTGATCTTCATCAGTAAGTGCTTTATCACTGCATATGACAAGTTGCTAGTGTGTCTTCCTCAATCCTGATGCTACTTTCTTCTTCATATAGTTCAGTTTCTTGGGTTATTTGCTTAACATACCGATTGAATGAGTATTGTGGAATGATAAATTATGACACACACCTTTCCTAGTTTAAAACCATGCATATTTAAAGAATTTTTTAAATTTTAAACAATTAGTTTCAAACAGGCTTGTCTATATTGATTGGCAGGGGTGTTTCCCCCGTTTTCTTATTTCACTTAATTCTATCTTACAATACTGGTATTTATTCTATGTATTATACCACAAAAGGGTCCTCGTGGCACAGTGATTAACTTCTTGGGCTGCAAACCAAATGGTTGGCAGTTTGAACCGATCACCTGCTCATCAGGAGAAAAGATGTGGTGATCTGCTCCTGTAAAAAACACAGCCTGTAAACCCCATGACACAGCTTTCCCCTGCCCTTTAGAGTTCATAAAGAGTTAGAATCAACTGAACCACAATGAATATTGTACCAGACTTCCTATGACGAGAAAACCAAGTAAAACTCTTCTTTCTAAGCTAAACAGATGAATACTTCACACTCTATAAATGTAATATAAATATAAATGTAATTAATTTATATGTTTCTAGACATTCATGAATTCTACCTTGACTCACAACAAATGAAGGCATAAGAAACAAGAGAATCCCCTGCACACAAAATATTCTCTCTCAACTTAGTTCACCCCATTGCCACGTAATGATGGTTATTGGAAATGGAATTTGCAGAGTGAGGAGGGAGGCCTATTCATCAAGGAGCAGTAGTCACACAGACTCAGAATCTGAGTTACCCACTAGTTTCAAAAGACTGTCACTAAGATAAAAGGGGAATTAGAAACCAAGAAAGATCACAGTAGTGCTTCTAGAACATGGCACTTAACTATTACAACCCTAAAACCTATTTAAATATGAATGAATTAAAAGAAGCAAAAGTGTTAGTAATCACAGAAGTGCATCAGAGGACTCACAGTTGGCCATTGCTGGTTCATTTTCAAATAGCAACAACCAAGCATCTGAATCATAGCCATTTAAGTGAGACAACATCCCTTTTAGAGTTACATAGAAAGGTTAACTATTTCCACACTTTTTATAAGTTACCACTGTCTAATGATAACGGTAAGCACCTGCTCAAGGAAAGTGAGGTAGACTTCACGTTATCTGGGTGTGAAGACACTCAGTAGAGATTCAAGAATAGCTCCACAAGAAACAGGAATTTACACAATTATCTTTTTTTTAACCCTTTCCTTACAATTTAGTAATTCCCACAGGAAAACGATACTTACAGGGTGAAGCAGTTTAGAGGTAGTATAACATCAAAAACTAGCACTGAATGAATATTACAATGAGACGTTCTAAGCAAATAATTTCTTTGTGCAGTAAACGTTTGTTATAATTTTTTTTAAGGATCTCTTGCCCATTCTCTCCTAGGCAATAGAACACTAAAAACAAGCAAAGGTGTCCTAGTGGCAAGAAACTGTGCTGCAATCCCGAAGGCGCATGGTTCGAATCCATCAGAGGCGCTGCTGGAAAAGGAGAGGCAATCTCCTCCTGTGCCAGTTGGATCCCACATGACGGTACACAACAAGGAGGGTGGGGACCAAACAAGCGAAGGTGCTTTGTTTAACTTATTGGGGACATATAGCTTAGAGCCTGTGTTTAGGAATAAGATTGATTATGAGAGCAACTCACCTGATTGGAGTCTCCTTTCGCTTCAAGTAAATCTTGAGTTAATAGAAGAGGTTCGCTCTTCTCGCAGCTCTCTGCACTAATGAGTGTATCAGCATAGTTTGGCTGCGGGAAGATTAAGTGACTCTTCCGAGAGTCCGCAGTGAGGGAGACCTCATGGGAATAGGTCTGTAGAAAAGCCTGCACCCCGTCCATGCCCACAAACTGCGAGGCAGACACACCTGCCAGCCCGACACCTGACGCCTGGAGCAGGTGCGACGTGTGCCAGCGCCTCAGCCTGAGCGCCAACAGAATGATGACGAAGGCAAGGAAGACACAGGAGACAGCGGCCACGGCCACCACCAGGTACAGTGTGAGGCTTGAATCATGTGGGTCAGATGGCGTCTTGATACTGCCCAGGTCAGCAAGCACGAGCACATCAGGGATGCTGTCGGCCACGGCCACAGTGAGCGTGACAGTGGCCGAGAGAGGGGGCTGGCCGTGGTCCTGGACCGCCACCACCAGGCTCTGCTTGAGTGTATCTCTGTCCTGCAGGGCCCGCGCAGTGCGCACCTCGCCCGTGTGCACCCCCACCGCGAACAGCCCTGGCTCGCTGGCCTTGAGCAGGCGGTAGGACAGCCAGGCGTTCTGACCCGAGTCTTTGTCCACCGCCACCACTTTGGTCACCAGGTAGCCGGGCTCTGCGGAGCGAGGCGCCAGCTCCACGCCGGTGGAACCGTCGGTGGGAAAAGCGGGATACAGGATCTCAGGGACATTGTCGTTCTGGTCCAGCACGAACAATCTCAATGTGACATTGCTGCTGAGTGGTGGGTCTCCACTGTCGCTAGCTGTCACCTGTAGTTGTAAGTCTCGAAATTGCTCATAGTCGAAGGAGCGCAGGGCATACAGGACCCCGGTGTCAGAGTTGATGGAGATGTAGGAGGACAGAGGTGTGCCCTGTACGGTGTCTTCTGCCAGAGAGTAAGTAACCCGGGCATTCTCCCCACTGTCGGGATCTTGGGCAGTCAAGGAGAAGAAGGAGGTGCCTCTGGGGTTGTTCTCGGGAACATAGGCAGAGTAAGAGGCACGTGCAAAGGCGGGTGCATTGTCATTGATGTCTGTCACGACCAGTGAGAGATGGGTTTTTGTAGATAAGGGCGGAGTTCCTTGATCTGTTGCAATTACAGTGATATTATACTCGGGAACTTCTTCCCGGTCCAGAGTTCTGTGTGTCAGCAACCGATAGTAATTCCCATAGGTCTTTTCAAGCGTGAAGGGCAGGTGATCAGGAACCGAACAGCTCACAAGGCCGTTTTCTCCGGAGTCGCCATCATGCACATTGAACAGCGCAATCACTGTCCCTGGAGAGGAGTTCTCTTGGACGGAGCTGGTGAGAGATGTAACCGTTACCTCCGGAGCGTTGTCATTTACATCCAACACTGTCACCAGGACCTTACTTCTGGCACGGAGACCGGGTCCGTCGTGGGCTTCTACATCGATGGCATAGAATCCGGAGTCCTCGTAATCTAGATTTTCCAATATTGCTATGTCCCCGGTCAGAGAATTCAACTGGAAGAGCTGCGATATCTTCTCCCTCACTTTCCGGAAAGAATACGTCACCTCGCCATTGGCTCCTTCATCTGGATCCGTGGCTTTTACAGTGAGTAGTCGGGTGCCCACCGGTGCGTTTTCCCGGACACTCACGCGGTACTCGGACTGAGTGAATACCGGCGTGTTGTCGTTGATATCGCTAACTTTGACGTGAATCCTGGCGGTGCCAGAGCGAACGGGGTCGCCCGCGTCCTGGGCGGTGAGGACCAGGAGGTGCGCGGCCTCCTGCTCGCGGTCCAGTGCGCGCTCCAGCACCAGCTCCGGGTACATGATCCCATCCGCGCCGCTCTGCACGTCCAGGGAGAAGTGAGCATTGGGGCTTAGCTGGTAGCCTTGCAGGGAGTTCGCCCCTATATCGGGGTCAAAAGCTTCGGGAAGAGGAAACCTTGTCCCAGGAACTTCACTTTCAGCGACTTTTATCTCTCTTTCCTCTGTCCCAAAGCTGGGCGCGTTATCATTAACATCGACTATCTCCACTTCCACTCCGAAAATCTTCACTTTGTCCTCGAGGAGAATCTCCAGGTTTGCGACACATCTTGGAGCTCTGTCGCAGAGCTCCTCCCGGTCTATCCTGTCCGCGGTCACCAGGCTGCCGCTCCGCGCGCTCAGCCCAAAGAGCTGCGTCCTACCTCTGGAGACGATGCGGACGCCGCGCTCCGCCACCTCCTGGGGCTCCAGACCCAGGTCCTTGGCGATGTTGCCCACGAACGAGCCTTTGTCCAGCTCCTCAGGGACAGAGTAGCGGATCTGCTGGGCCTGAATTTCCCACAGCGCCCCTAGGAGAAGGAAGATTCCGACCAGCCGGCCACAGGCCGGACAACAAAGAGGAACCGCCATTCCAGCCCCGCCGCTGACTAGCCTGCGCTTTGGTTTTCCCTCTGTGAAGGCTGAGAGAACCCAGGATCTTGGGTTCCAGAAGAATTAGCTTTTACCTTTGGGCGCTGGAACTCCCCGGAGCCCCGGCTGCAGCTTCCGCATAGCCCCGGAACCGGTGCCTTAAGCTGCAAAATTCTCTGTGATTTGAATTAAATTTCTCGTTGTCTTGTGTCAGGTGAACAGCGACACTCAGAGTCCTAATCTGTTACTGCAACCCATTCTTAAGTAACTGTGGAGCATCAGTTTTCCGTCCATTTCCATTCCTAAACTCTCTATAAAAGATACAGGTCAAGCTCCTGTTTGTTTGAGATGCCATAAAAATATAAAAACGTTTCAATATTTCCTCTACACTAAGCTTTGTATTATAAAGTTGTTATTTTATTTAAAAAACTAATGTGGTAATTTTTTAAAGGGAACTCCAGGCTTTTTGTATGGTTCGTCTCCATAAACTCATTTTCAATACATCATATATACTTTGCATGTACAGAGGGATGAAGGTACGTACTTCCTGGGAACAAGGATGGGCTGGAAGGATGGAGAAAGTGGTAAGAGGAAACTAACAACCGGGGAGCTCAGAGCTCCACGTGCTAATAATCTCAGATTACACAGGAATATGCCTCCTTACAGGAAGTGACCCTGTAAAGCCTATGGCAACAGCTAAATTCCTTTATAAAAAGAAAGTCTGCTGCTTAAGAGCTAGTCTTGGGATAATAGATTTGGGAAGACAATTTTCTCACTGATTTTGTGTACAGAAGATGGTTGTCCACAAATGATTTCTATTCACAAGCTGTTCTCTATCTGTAAGGAAGTACCTGTCACAGGATAGGGATTAAAAATTAATTTTTCACTGATTATTAAATGAGTCCTAATGCAATCTCAAGACCTAAAATGATAAATATGTACAACCTGACCATAAGAATGCATAATAGGGATGAGATGACAAAAAGTTAGACTGAAATACAATAATCAGCAGTGGCTTTAAGGATAGTTTTCATTCAGAATGTATTATTTTACTCATACTTCCAAGTTTATTTTAGGTTTTATTTTTAAAATAGCTACTAGAAGGAAATATTCCAGTAATTGTATATGAATCCTGCTATCATTTATGTGTCAGCTGGCCACACTGTGGTGACTGCATGTTGCTGTGATGATGGAAGCTATGCCACCAGCATTTCAAATACCATCTGGGTCAGCCATGGTGGCAGCTACAGTGGAGTTTTCAGACTGAGATAGAATAGTGAGAAAATCTTGGCCTTTCACTTGCAAAAACTACCCAGTGAAAACCTATGGACCATAACAGAATATTGTCTGGTAGCATTGTAAGATGAGCTCTCCATGTGGAAGGTGCTCAAATGGCCACAACAATGGACTCAAATATAATAATGACCATGAGATTACATAAGACCCAGGAATGTTTGTTTTGTTTTAAATGGAATCACTGACCTGACTTGATGGCAACTAAAAACAACAAATGGATTCTCTTTGCATGTTTCATAGTTTTGGTGTTGGGTCTTTTTTTTAATTTAGAAAGAGTGAGAGTAATTTACTAATCTGAGAAAATGGGAAATAAAACACTAGCCAGCTCTTTAAGTTACTCCTCAATGATAATTATTGTTGTTAAGTGCCATCGAGTTGTAGATGACTCATAGCGACCCTATGAAAGAAAGAATGCTTGTATAACTTTCTCCAAGTTCATAAAGATTTCCGGAGTCAACCTATTTTGGAAGTGGATGACACTCCTGCTTGCAAGCTTGTTTTAATCAGGGAGTTCCACCAAACACTGTCCACCATGGGTAACCATTACCACATTTGATACATCAGTGTCACAGTGTTCAGCATCACAGCAACCATGAGTTAATTAGCATAAAGAAATATTGATCGGTGCCCCTAAGTGGGTTCCAAATAATTTTTGAATAAGAATATAAAGTGGGAATAAAATTGGTCAAAGATAGTTACTCACTGAACACCCATGTTTATTGTGGCTTTGTTCACAATAGCAGAGTTGGAAACAACCCAAGTGCCCATCAACAAATGAATGGATAGAGAAACTATGTTCACACAATTAAATACTATGCTGCATTGAAAAACAAGGAACTAATGAAATATTATGCAAAATGGGTGAAGTGACCCTGGAGGACATTATGCTGAGTGAAAGATCTCAGTCACAAAAGGACAAATATTGCATAGGGCCACTGTTGTAAAATGAGACTGACACAAGGGTTGAGGGAAGACTGAGAAAGAGGGGATGAATAATGTATATTGCATAGAAACAGATGAGGGAGAGAACTGTTTAAAAGGGATATGCGATTGGGTACTATTGTCATAACAGGAGTCCAGAATAAAGGCTGTACAGTTGAGTGGATTTGGGGGGAGGGATTGCATAAAAATTAAAGATTTTTACTTTTCAAAGAGAAGAGTGAAATGGGGGGTGGGGGTGGGCAGGAAGAAAAGTGCAACAATGAATGGACACACTAAGTCTCTAAAATTTCATTAAAATTAATTAAATAAAAAGAAGAAGACTCTCGGGGGAGGGGGAAGATAATTCTTCACATCTAAAACTTGGCAGTCTTTGCTACTTTTGCAAAGAAATATTAAGTGACTTAATTAGTTGAAAGTTGTTTTAAAATTATATATTTTAGCCAAACACTAAACTTAAGAATGTAACTGATAAAAAGCCTTAACTTGAGCAGAAAAAAAATCAGCATATTATGTAAAAGACAGCACTGAAAAAAATAGTATCACAACAAACAAATGAAACATCCTTTGTCATTGAGTTGATGCCAACACATAGAGACTGTACAGAACAGGACAGAACAGAACTATTCAAAAGAGTTTTCAATCTTTTCATCCACACCTTTTTCCAGAGGAGAGACCACCAACATTTTAATTTCTGCAACACCAGGGCTTCTTATCAACTAAAAGAGGGCAGTGGCATTATTGGCCTGGGAACATCCCTGAAAGCACTCTCTGCAAAGTTCTCAAGCTTGGAAATTCAGAAATGCCAACAGTAAGGAGCGAACGAATCAAGTTAACTAGTAAGACTGCGGAGCAATCAACAAACCAGTCCAACACATTCTCCTCACAGATACGTTCGCAGAGCAATGAACAGCTACCAAAAGTAATCATCTAGAGCTGAAAAACAAACAAACAAACAAACAACAACAAACCCACAAGAGATTTAAAGAGGCTTGCAGAAAGAAACTCACGTGAGAGGGAAAAGAAGGGTCGTAAGTGATTTTGGGGTCTTCGTTACTGGCATCTACGACCGCAGACGGTTCATCACACAAGAGATCTTGAGGGGCAGCCATTTCTGGAGTCACGTTGAGAAAATGAAATTCTTTCTTAGCTGGTTGTGATGTAACATACAAATTGCAGGAATAGGGCAATGTGCCCTCACAGTAGTTACGAAGAACTCCAGGTTCAGACGTGGAGCAGAAACCAGGCTGAAAGCAGCCCCCGGTTGCCAGGCTGGGAGAGCTTCGCAGGCGCAGGGCAATGGCCAGGATGACCGCGAGGAGGAAGAGCACGGAAATCAGGGCCAAGGCCACCACCAGATAGAACTGCAGCTCGGTCTGTGAGTCA